TAAGTCGCGGCATTATGAACTGTGCCGCCTTTCTTGGACGTCTCAGTGATAGACCAACGGAGCTTGCTAACTTACTGTCTTCAGCTTGGCAATGTGCACGTTCAGCTTCCCTTTATGAGCCCGCCGAACACTAATGGGCGATAATGCTAGCCCTGAAATTGCCGATCTCATATTGTCAGCCATGGAGTATCGGTTCCTTCGTAAGAATCCCGGAATTCATCTTCATCTCTTTCGACTATCGATGACGTCCTTATTGTTAACTGCGCCAACTTTGTTGAAATTGCCAGTAACATCTAGGGGCCCAGCCCGCAACTCAACACCACTTACTCCGGATAAGGGGCTAGTTTCTTAGACCTCGAAATTTTATGCTGAGAGGGTAGATGTGTTTTCAGTGTATACAATAAGACCTTGGACTACCCATTCACAGTAAATTATGGAGGGTATCTACATAGCAATAAGGACGAAACGGTGCCAGAATGTGTCATTATGTCGCAACTGCTTCGTTATGCACGTATATGCACTCTTTCAGAAGGGCCCCATGACTAGATTAGACGGCTTGTAAGTATTTACAGACGTAAAATGTTTGATACTGCCAAAATAAAACGCTCCACTCTCAGATTCTGTTTCAGGAACCGGTCATTACTTAGCAAATTCATCTTCCCTGATGATTCAGGAATTAAACTCCTAGTCAACATGCTAAAAAAAAGTATTTTCTCATAATTGAGAAATAATGATTGTCCGTATCATGGATTACCTTCCTCTCCTTTCTCTCCCCTCTCACTCTCTTTTGCTCTCTCTCTCTCCGATTTCTCTTTGTTTTCCATATCTGTCTTGCAAATTAGCCACATGACTGTTCATAATATGGCGGGTAGGAAGCTGTACTGATGATTCCCGCTCCCAGCCGCATACATTGCTCGGTCTGTGTTTACAGCTAAGGGATGAAACAAACACTGTACCGTAAAATGCCCTCCGACACATGACACTTAAGACTAATCCTTCTATTCTAATACATCATTTCATTTCTACGGGTTCGCATTTGCGCAACAAATATCCTCGCAAACTGAAAGAAACTAATCAGCCTAATTATCGAATTGGCATTTTGCCCACGACGTGTTGATTTCATGTTCGACATGTCTGTACTTGTGTCGCAAACATACACTGAAGCTGCACTTGAAATTCTTAGCTTACCCGAGTGCACAGGGTATTCTTGTAATGTTTCTGCATCTTATCTTGTTTAGTTTCCGAAATTGCTTTCTGGTTAAAAAACTTACATGTCTGCTTTTCACGGCCGTGCATGAGTCCCAAGCGTACGCGCGAACGATAATTTTAAAAACAGAGGGCCGCATATGGAGCGAGAGAAAATTTCAGCTCTCTGGCTTCTCTGGTCGCATCGTTGGTGGTGGGTTACGGAAATGCAAACAAACGCACACGCACACACATACACATACACACACACACACACACACACACACACGAAACCCAGGCTGGAACGCACCAGGCGAGCCGGTGCGATCATGCGTTTTTGCATCAAAGTTTGAGGTA